CAGGTCATGGGAGGACTCTGGGTGCTGCATAGCACGCGAAACGTCGAGAATTAGGAAATAAAATCTAATACAAATTAAACGCGATAAAATCCGCGATAATAGTTTTATTTAATTTGCAGTGTGCGTTAATATAAGAAATCATAATGTGAACCCTTTCATCTTAGTCCTTAGATGTAACGACCCATCATCATATATCATTGTTGTTCTTCAATCGAGGATCATGTAAGTGATTATGAGCCGCAACATCAATTTACCATGACTTAAGACGGTGTGCTCTTATGTGAAAATTTCTTCTAAAAACATTTAGTTTCAATTTAAATACTAGAATGGATTTTTTTAAGTATAACACTAGTTGGTCCGGCATAAATTGTTCGACCTTACCGGTAGATGGCCCGATGAGGTTTTGTTGGTTTGAATATAAAATTTAAAAAAAAACTAGCTGGTACCTGACAGGTTGCAGCCGCAGAAGATATAATTGTAACTTACTTATCTTCACGCACAATCCCTGACGGGGTAGCCAGAGAGAACAGATCGCCAAGTGTCACGATCCTTACATATCTCTTTCGCTTCTTTCAGATTCATTATCTTCTTCATACATGCACGTCTAGGTATCCGAGTACTCTTGACCCTACCCTCTTCGAGCAATTTGCTCACATGGTCTTCGAAAGTTAGTCTCGGTCTACCTCGACACCTTTTAATATTAACTTTCGCGCTATATATTTTCTTCACCATTCGGTCTTCACTCATTCGCTCAACGTGCCCAAACCACCGAAGCACGCCCTTATCAATTTTTGTGATAAGGTCATCTTTCAAACCTGCCATATTGCGAATCTCTTCGTTTCGCTTTCGGTCGGCCATAGTAACGCCGCACATTTTACGAAGAGATCGCATCTCCACTGCATTCAACTTACTTTTATGCTTCTTCTGGCATACCCAGGTTTCGCTGCCATATAACAAAGTCGGTACCAACACTGCGTTATGTATTGCAAGGCGTGCACTCTTCGCTACGCCTTGCCTTTTGACTAACGCAGTCAGGGCACCATTGACTTTGTTCCCGGCAGCGACACGCCTGTCCACATCTAAATCACATCTTCCATCCCGGCTAAAAGCACTCCCCAAGTATACAATTTCATTTACCTGTTCTAGACATTCCTGATTTACCCATATTTCACACTTCGTTCTCTCTTCGTCCCTTTCAAATACCAGAACCTTAGTTTTATTAGCATTCAAACGGAGACCTTTAATTTCACATTCCTCTTTCATACACGTGACTAATGCCTGCAGTTCTGCCTCTGATGGTGCAATAAGCACTGCATCATCAGCATACAGCAGACAATTTACTTTTATGTCACCCAATTTCACACCCAAACAGCTATCTTTCAGCTTTTGTAAACAGCTGTCGAGATACAGTATGAACAGCCAGGAAGACATGACACAACCCTGTTTTACGCCCGTTTGGACGCTAAACATGGGTGACAGGTCATGCCCTACCCGCACACAGGCTTTACAGTCACAGTAAAGAGACTGCACAGCCCTTAGCAATCGGCCATCCACACCATACCCCGGCAACAGTTCCCACATTTTCTTCCTTACAACCTTATCAAATGCTTTCTCAAGATCCACAAAAGCACAGAAAATCTTCTGGTTAACAGCCAGAAGCTTTTCCGTGATCATACGGAGAGAAAACATTTGATCCGTGCATCCTCTTCCAGGTCTAAATCCGCATTGTGCCTCCCATAGAAATCTTTCCGATTTCTCTTGCATCCTACGTGTCAAAACCTTCGAGTAAACTTTACTTGCTAAACTGGTCAAGCTGATCGCCCGATAGCACCCGCAGTCAAAATGTGAACCTTTACCTTTATATAAAGGCACAATGACTGCGGATCGCCAATCATCCGGGACATCCCCCGTCCGCCAGCACAAATTGCACAGCAGATGAAAGCTGTCCCAGACGCGAGGCCCACCATACTTGACCATTTCAGCAGTAACTCTGTCTAGTCCCGCAGCCTTACCACATTTCAAACTTCGAATCGCACGTTCAATCTCTTTCATACTGATGACCTCAGTGTCATCGAGGTCCGGGTCTGGCGTACCAGTCACGGCGTCATCCCCGGATCCCTCACTAAGATCATCACACGCATACATTTCTCTATAAAATTCGCTCTATCGCTGCATGACGTCCGATTTTTCTGATAGGACGTCATTAGTTCTCGAAAGCACTTTGTTCATTCTTAAGGCCGTCGCACCACTTCGGGCCCTTCCAACCTCTTTCCAGAAGAGTTTGGAGTTCTCCTTAAAGTTGTGCGACAACCTTTCATCCGCTTCCATTCTACACCTTTCACGCACTTCCTCAATCAATGCTTTCGTGTGAACTTTCTGCAGCTTATATCTTTCTTTCATCTTCTCTCTCATATCCTTATCATTACTAGAGGCCAAGTAGTCTAACCATGCTTTCTTCTTCTTCTTTACAGCTTCTTTCACTTCATCATTCCACCATGCATCTCTTCTTTTACTACTGCCTCTTTTTATTGTTCCACACACTTCTTCCGCAGCACTTACCATTCCATCCCTAAGGTTCTGCCATGTTCTTTCTACACATTCGTTTCTGCCATCGATGGTGTCAAGCTTTTCGGCTACCCTCGCATGATATTTGTCCCTAGTATCCGCTTCCTGAAGCTTCCAGCTTCGGATGCGACAGACCGACTGTGGTTCTGTCACTGTCGTCCGGTAGCGCCAACCCGCGAACAGACCCCTAAATCTAGTAATCACTAGATAGTGATCCGTTCCCAGGTCAGCACCCCTGAACACTCGCGTATCCATAACCTGTTTTCGCAGTCGGTCATCCACCAGGAACAAATCGATCATACTTCTCTCATTCTTTCTTTCTCTAGTATACATATGGATTTTCTTGTGATTAAACATAGTGTTTGTCACAAGAAGACCCTTTTCCTTGCATACCGCCAGTATAAGCTTGCCAGCATCATTAACCCTTTTATCGTCAAACTTTCCAAGTACCGACTCGTACCCTGGTCGAGCGGTACCAACCCATCCATTCAAATCACCACATACAACAATCCTTTCGTTTCCCCTAGCCAAATCTAGAACTTCTCTTACATTCTCCCAAAACTCCTCCAGCTCAGCCCTGGACGACGAAGCCACCGGCGCATAAACAGCCAAAAGGAATAACTTCGTCAGTCCCAATTTAAAGCGAACCCAGAGAAGTCTTGAGTTCACAAACTTATATTCAGTCATAACATCGACCAACCGAGAAGACAGCAGCACCCCCACTCCCTGGCAGGCGTTCTCGCTCTCCGGGACTCCGGACCATAGAGCTAACGCCCCGCCAGGGAGCTCTTCAGTACCACTGCCCTTCCGTTTGGTCTCCGACATACACACGACATCTAATTCTCTTTCTTTCATTATTTCGATCAACTCATTCGTCTTATCTCTCATGCCTCCTCTAACATTCCACGTGCCAACTCTGCACTCCGTCCTCCACCTTCCGCCGTGTCGGGCTGTGCGTGACGGGTGGCGGTCCCCATCGCCGCTTTGCACGCTGCATTCCACGCCAACGGGGACGAGCTGGTGTGCGTCGCCTTGGGGGGACGCCCTAACCCTCGTTGACATGGGTGCGCAGCTGAGTAGAATTGCAGCCCTGAAAAGGGCTGGCAGGGGTCGCGACGAGCACGCTTCTACAATGACCCCCATATATAGATATAATTGTGCAAGTAGCGTTTTAAATTTGGAAGAGTTCTTTATTTTTTAATTAGGATTGAAAATACATTCATTGAAGTTGAATGATATATAACTTTTAAACAAATTTTTTGGTACTATACGCACGCCATCTACTGTAACTTAATTTTACTATGCCTATAACCTACGCGCAAGTGCAAGCAATAAGTTGACAAAGTTTAACTGATAAACGGTATGGCAGCGCATAAGATACGAACGAACAAACATTAACTTTTATATATTAGATGCGACCACAGCCTGTTAGGTGCAAAGTTTGTAATTTATTTTCAGCAACTAAACCGACATATTGAAATCAGTAATTTTGATAAAGATTTATATTTACACGAATATTACACATGGATTAAAACCAACTTTAAGCATATTATCGAGTTTAATTTGGCTTACCTACTTTTAATTCCCTACGTTTCGGTTGTTTTACATATGGTTTCCGGATCAATGAGCTGTTTGACGTCCTAATATAATGAATATAAATTTTTGGTCCGAGCTTCTCAGAACTAGCTTACATTATCTTGAAGTCTTGCAGTGGTATGCTTCGGCTTAAATTTATTTTATTGATTGAAAAGGCTTCGCATGGGTAGATTCCATTATTGTGGCGTTATTTGGAATTAAGATAGATAATCATCAAAGAGAATTGTTTTTATCAATTTTTCGATTTCTGGTATAGCTTAGTCAATTTTTATTAAAATAGGTTCAGCCATTCCGGTGGTACGATAGAACGGAACCCTTGATGCGCGAGTAGTAGAGTGGTACCATCGTAAAACACGATTCTAGTAGGAGAATCGTGTTTTAAGAAAAAGGAACCCCCTTTAAATTTTAATTTATTTTATTTTTATATTTTTTACTATAGCGGCAACAGAAATACACATTCTGTGAAAATTTTAACTGTCTACATATAACGGATCATGAGAGATAGAGCCCGCTGATAGATAGAGGCGGAGGCTTACTAATGGATCCCGTTGGTTACACTTTGGGTACGGAACCCTAAAAAAGGAGATACCAATACAAAATAATTAAAAACTCACCTGTTAAGCCTGACAACTACGGCAAATATCCATTGGTAATGTTTGGGGAGGCCTATGTTCAGCAGTGGACTTTAATCTATAATTAATGAAATAAATGGGTACAAATAAATAACTATTAATTAACAGAATGAAAAAGAAATCAATAATCTAATTTAACATTTGTTTTTTCAGCTGGAAGCAGCAAAACAAAATGTTCAACTTTCGGATTCCTATTTGCCGGTAGCGATGCAAGTGATAGCGCACCTCACAGACCAGATGGCATTCGTCATGCACGAGGAGTTCGAAGCGAACTCACCGAAACCGACGACTAAGCCTACGACTACGCCAAAACCTTTGTATGTCACATCTGATTACTTTGAGACATTGAATCCTAAATCATGGTGGTGGATGCCCAATGATATTTTGAGGTGAAGGTTTTGTCTGAGGCCTTTGTCTATTTTGTGTGTATTTATTTGTTGTTTATTCTGATTGAAAGGTGAGCATGCTAACAAATACTATTTGTATTTATCACTTGTTTGACAGATGGTTTTGTTTTATATTTTTAATATTAATTCGACTTGTACATAATTCTCTATAAGTCTGTAAATAACAATGGCTCATATTATTTTTTTTTGTTCTTTACTTTTATGTCTTTATCAAATATTAATAAGTCGTCTTTCATTGTTATTACGAGATCTTTTATAAAAGTGTAAAAGCCTTTAATATGTTGAGGCAAAGGTCGGTTGTGATTTCTTCGTAAGTAAATGAAAGAAAGAAATTAAAATTACATCTACTTGACAGAAATTTTTACTTGGTAGAGCCATGCTGCAGCTTTATTAGTAGTAGCACGAATGCGTCGGCTCTACTACCACGCTCCCACAGAATACCAGCGTAAAATAGCAGCTTAAAACTGCTGTGTTTCGTATGGTGAGTGTACAGAACCGCAGACTGTTTTTACTGGAAAAGAGGCATTCCATCTTAGTCGTCACGGGTGACAATGCATCTGCATTTTGATTCTTTATTGAGGATGTATATGCGTCACAGCAACCACTTACCATTAGGTGGACCGTGTGCTCGTTTGTCACCCAATACTATAAAAAAATAAACGTTCTTACATATATTGCTGTAAAATGGCGTACCTAATTGTTAATGGAATTTAAGTTAAATGTGATGGCAGCATAAATTAATTCATGAAATATTTAGTTCCCTGGACATCATAAAAGAAGACTTGGGAAAATGCCAGAAAGATCCCATTACTTGGGATATATTGCGGTATAATTATCTTATTGAGAGGTAAAAGAGCCAGACCGATGATAGGAGTAACGTCAAAGGTATACGTCTATAACATGATCGGTAGGCGTATTACGTATCTTGCAGAAGGCTAGTGATAGCAAAATTAGAACAATAATTGCTGATAAATCGCAGATTCGTATTACGTGCAAGCGATCAAGCTATCGCTAGCCTTCTGCAAGGTACGTAATACGCCTACCGATCGGCTAGCCAAGCGTGGCGCTTAACGCAAATCCTACCTAATAAAACAAACAAAATCTAACCTAATTACGGGTTGATAAACGTAAAGAAATCAAATTTAAATTAATTTTACATTTAATTATCCTATTTCACCAAAGTGGTGTAAGTGTAAAATTTTCTAAAAATTTCAACATTAGCTGCATACAGTGCAAGATTCACGAGGCGCTGGAAACATGTCGTCGCAATTTCAAAATTTAACTAGCAATTAACGTGTTTAAATCTTATGAATATTTCAGAGACGAGACGACGCCTTTTCATCGACCTGGATATTATGCTCCTGAATCGCCACCTAAGCCTTCAGAAAGAATATCGACGCAAAAACAGCTGCAACAAAACGATTCTCCTCAAAACCAGCAAAATAATGTATCTTCACAAAATAACCAACAAAATATCACCCCACAACACCAACAATACCCCACACCCAAGAACCAACAACAATACTCCGCTCAGCAAAATCAACAACAATACTCTACCTCTCAGAACCAAAAACAATACCCTACATCTCAAAATCAACAACAATATCCCACACCTCAAAGCCAGCAACAGTACCCTATCCCGCAAAACCAAGAACATTACGATACCCCCCAGAACGAACAACAATACCCCACGCCTCAAAACCAACAACAATACTCTACTCCACAAAATGAACAACAATATCCGACTCCACAGAATCAACATCAACACGCCACCCCACAAGTTCATCAACAATACAGCTACCCCTCACAGCAGCAACCATATAACTTCCCAACACAGGACCAACAACAGTACTATTTCCCTTCACAGAATCAGCCGCAATACAACTTCCCCTCACAGTACCCGGAACAATACAACGTCCTTCCACATAACCAACAAACGTACAACTTCCAAGAAAGCCAGAATCAAAACGAATTCTCACAGAATCAGCAGGTGTTCAACATCTCCTTACAAGACCAGTATCTAAACAACGACTATCAACAGCAGCTTAACATATTCCAAAATCAACAGCAATACAATACACCACAAAATCAACAATTCAACGTCATGACATTCGACTTACCTCAGTACAACCCGCTACAACCTCAAAGTGTGAGAAACGAAGAGCCATTACTGTCTGCCCATCATGAAGAAGTGAAGCCACTAATGGAACCGACTCCCGATGCCCCGCAACTCTTACCTCCTCATTTTGAAACTGACGTCGATAAAATTTCGAGTCGATCTAAAGGCTTTGATGTGGATGAATTGACAGAAGAAAATCTTCAATACTTATCACATAACGTGAGGGAAATGATTAGAATGGCTCATGACCCACATGACGAACGATTGGTTGACGTCTGGGAAGGGCTGAGAGCCCGTCCATTGGAGCCGTCGCCTAAAGGGAAGATGTCATCTTCGAACTTGAGATTGCTACTTTTGTACGATCTGCTAAGCAGGGAAGCGAAGCGACAAAGGCTGTCAGACTACAGTGTAAGTATTAAATCTCTACTTTTTACTTTACTTAGTTTACCAATAGTTTTACCAATAGTCTAATTTAGCAGTGTACGTGGGTTGCTCAGAAATTTTTGCTATGGTTAAATTTTGATGTTTAATAACTTCTCTCTCACTTTCCCGTAATGTGGGGGAATGATTTCGTGAAAAGGGACGGAAGCATGTAACAGGAAGCTGCGAAAGTAAAGTGTGCTGTAATATAAACTATATTGAAAAATGTATTTACTCTTGACAATAAGTTTCTGAAAAATGTGCAGAACATTGATAAAAAGCGAGTGAGTAAAAATGAATAATTATTTGAATAAATATTTCAGTATTTAGTTTTTATAAGTTTTGCGGTTAATTTCTGTCGGTGATCAATTGATATTTTTAATTCTGATTTAAAAAAACAAATACCTTTTTTCAGGATATAATGTCAATGTTACCCAGGTGAGATGTAAGATGTTACACATCATATGCGACTACTGTATGGCTGGCTAGTTATTTTTCATAGTTCTATGGTAAAGTTTTTATTATTAAACCTTTTCAAAGAACTCTCCACCAGCACCTAAACAAAGTTCATACGTTCCAACCAATTTTCGAAACATATTTTTCAATTCCCCACAGACACCCCTTCTACGGCCTGTTGAAACGCTGATAGCTCATATTCAGGCGACTGTATTCCTTTCAGTTGTTTTTTTTTAAGGGATTAGAAAAAAATTCAGTCACAAATAAGGGTTGTAAGAAGTGTGACCTAAAATCTTAACAAGTGTGCTATCGCGTATGTACCTAATTATGAGCGCTGAGTGCGCGAGAGCGTTGTCATGGTACAGCAACCCGCGGATTTTCGTGTTACGTCGTTTGTTCCTCGCAGCAGTGAACACTTAGGCGAGCATGTAGTAGTGTATGATTTAGCATTGATGCTACTTCGATTTCATAAAGAATTTGACAGTAAATACAACATTAAAGTGAAAAAACTAGCGATCAAATTTTCCTCTGAGCTTTTTGATCGCTTCACTTTGGTACTTACCAAGTTCATCTTTTTTTATCGTCATCTCTAAAATTCTTGAAATAGCTGACATTTAAAATGCAGGGACAAATAATGTGCATATTAACATAAAAATTTGCTCAAGGTCAAAACGATGACATACCCAATACCCACACAGATAGAATTGCCTATGTGTGAATCAAATAGGAATATCTAGGTTACCTAGGGTAAAAAAAGAAATTTTATTTTTACATCAGACTGTTATTATACGTGTGTTCAATAATTAGAACGTACTTAATAGTCATTCATTTCGAGACGTTATTAAAATACTTTCTTCCTAAACTTATCAAATATTTTTTTATTTATTTTGCTTAGTATGTCAATGTTTCAACCGATTTTTTTTCTATTATATATATACTTACTTACTTATATATTATTTATATACTTACTAGCAATTCGCCTCGGCTTCGCACGGTTGATTTCTGGATCTCGACAGCAAAGCCACCTACCGGGTCCAATTGTGAATCTAAACCATTCTCTAATCAACTTGAATCACACTAACCTCGAAACCGCATCATAATCCGTTCCGTAGTTTAAAAACTCTAAGCGTGCGAATATAAACGGCGGAAAGAGACTTTGTTTTGTATTATGTAGAGATGTACCCCAATCCATACCATTATAATGTTACGTTAGTTGAATAGTATGAGCCTATAAATGTCTCTTTGCACATGGTTGTCCTCTTATTTTTGGGTTGGTAATGAATCTTGTGAGAGTTCGCCGTTTTTTCTTTAATACATTTCATAAAAGTTTACATTTCATAATAGATATATTTATTCTTAATTGCTGAATGTGGCTTCGGCTCCGCAAATCAAAGTCACGTTCATAATGCGTGACTTAATTATTCAGGCAATAAAGGAATGCTGTATATATTTATGGCCTTGAGAAATTTTCTTTCTAATTAATTTACGCGGTAGAAATTTAATTTTTACGTGGTAGAGCCATGCTGCAGCTATATTAGTAGTATAGTTGTAGCACGAATGGGTCGGCTCGACCGGGGAAGGACCACGCTCTCACAGAATACCAGCGTGAAATAGCAGCTTAACGCTGCTGTGTTTCGTATGGTGAGTGTAGAGAGCCGGAGACCCTTTTTACTGGAAACGAAGCATTCCATCTTAGTCCTTACGGGTGACAACGCATATGCATTTTGATTCTTAATCGAAGATAGATGTAGATGTATATGGGTCACAGTAACCACTTACCATCAGGTGGACTGTGTGCTCATTTGTCACCCTATCCTATAAAAAAAAGTTACAAAAAGTATGAAATAAATGTTTATCTAAAAATTAATTTTTGTTTGTTCATATTTTATACGCTGCTATAAAGTTCATCAGATTGCGCTAAAATTTTGTCAACTTATTGCTTGTACTTGCGCGAAAGTTATAGGCATAGTACAATTAAATTACAGTAGGTGTCGCGCGTGTCGTACCAACTTATTTAAAAGTCATAATATGTCATTCAATTTCAATGAATTTATTATCATGGCTAATTAAACAATATAACCCTTCCAAATTTAAAACGACATTTCTACAAATATATTTTCTGCGGCAGCAACGCGCCGGGTACCAGGTAGTTACAAATAAAAATAAAGAAACTTAAAAATACTATATTACATATATTGATAAAAAGAAAAAAAACGCTTGGCAAAGTGTCCTCTATGAAGCAATAATTATACTTGAAAGGCGTATATTCATCAATAGACTTTTATAAGCTGTGATGGTTTTTAATTAAAAAAAAAACTTAAAAATAAATATCAATTATTGAACTTGCGTTATGGATGTACTAAAATTATGATTTCTTATATTTACACGAACACTACACATTTAATTAAAACTAATTTTACGGATTTTATCGCGTATATTAACTTATTTTATATTCCCAACGTTTCAAGCACTTTACAGCACCCATGGTCACGGGGGGGACTGAGGTGTATGACGTCCCAATGTCATAGTTAACCAAGGCTACCTTCATATTAAAAATTATTAATTTTTGTTCCGATCTACGCAGTATGAACTTACAGTATCATGAGGTCTTGCAGTTGTATGCTTGGGTTGGGATTTAATTTTATTAATTATGGGATCCCAAGCAGATGGTAGCACCTAGCCATCTTCTCTATTGAAATTAGTATGTCTTTTAATTTCAATAGCCTCGCGAATCATCCTGGGGAGGAATCGGTATTCTTTATTGAGGATTTTTGGTCTATCAAATCTAATGTAGTGACGGGGGCGATCCTGTACGTGTTCACAGACTGCAGACTTCCCGGAACGTCGATTCTTCACATCAGCTATGTGTTCTTTAACGCGGATATTTATGGATCTTTTAGTTTGTCTTATATAAGAGAAACCACATTCACAATCAAGCTTGTACACTCCTGCATCTTGCAGAAGAATATTACACTTGACTGATGGTAAAAACTGACTAATCTTCTTCGGCGGCTTGAAGTATGTTTTTTTTTTTTTTTTTTTTTTTTTATAGGAGAGGGGGCAAACGAGCATGCGGCTCACCTGATGGTAAGTGACTACCGCCGCCCATGAACAACCGCAACACCAGGGGAATTGCAGATGCGTTGCCGGCCTTTTAAAAAGGAGTAGGCTCTTTTCTTGAAGGTCCCTAAGTCGTATCGGTCCGGAAAAATCCCTGGTGGTAAACTATTCCACAAGGAAGTTGTGCGAGGAAGAAAACATCTTCTAAATCGCACAGTGGTGGACCGCCAATCATCCAGATGGTGTGGATGGTATCGGGAGTTCTGCCGCGATGTGCGTTCGTGAAATTTGGCGGCTGGGATTAATCCGAACAATTCCTCAGAGCACTCCCCATGGTAGATGCGAAAGAAAATGCAAAGAGATGCAACATCTCTTCGCAGTGCCAATGAATCGAGCCGATCGGAAAGGGCTCGGTCGTCGACGATTCGAGCCGCTCTGCGCTGGATGCGGTCAAGTGGAAGGAGCTGGCACTGGGGAGCCCCTGCCCAGAGATGGGAACAGTATTCCATGTGAGGCCGAACCTGCGCCTTGTAAAGTTGCAGGCGGTGTGCCGGCATGAAATACTGTCCCGATCTGCTGAGCACGCCAAGCTTTTTAGAGGCCAATTTGGCCTTCTCTTCCAAGTGACCACGAAACTGCACGTCACTCGATATGCCGACTCCGAGGATACCGATACTGGCTGAGGCAAGAAGGGGAGTGCCTTGAAACTGAGGAGATACGACAAAGGGGTTCTTTTTAGCGGTAAACGCGCAAACTTGTGTCTTCTGAGGATTAAACTGGACTAGATTTAGTCGCCCCCAATCCGAGACTTTGTCCAGCAAAGACTCGACTTCAGACACAAGTTTGTTCCGGTACTCGGCGACGTTTTCCCGAGAAATATTGGCCCGGCCGGTGTATAGAGCCTCACCAGTGCTGTCATCCGCATAGCAATGAATGTTACCAGTTAGCAACATATCATTGATATGCAGAAGAAACAGCGTTGGTGATAGCACACAGCCTTGTGGAACACCAGCGTTAATAGGCTTGTAGTCAGAACATGCACCGTCTACAACGACCTTGATGCTCCGATCTGCAAGAAAGCTGGTGATCCAATTGCACAATTTCTCGGGAAGCCCATAGGAAGGCAGCTTTGAAAGAAGCGCTTTGTGCCAAACCCGATCAAAGGCCTTCGCAATGTCCAGACTAACGGCCAACGCCTCCCCCTTGGACTCTACTGCCTCCGCCCATCTATGGGTCAGGTAGACAAGAAGATCACCAGATGATCGACACCGACGAAAACCGTATTGGCGGTCACTAATCAGCTGGTGATCCTCAAGGTACCGGATGAGCTGGCAGTTAATAATGGATTCCATTATTTTGGAGAACAAGGAGGTGATCGCGATAGGCCTATAGTTGGACGGGTCTGAGCGGTCGCCTTTTTTAGGGATCGGGTGGACAAAAGCTGTCTTCCATGAATTCGGGACTACGCCTTGGGAGTAGGAGTACCGGAAAAGACGCGTTAGGACCGGTGCCAACTCCGGAGCACACGTCCTCAGCACAATTGGGGGGATTCCGTCAGGCCCACTCGACTTCTGGATGTCCAGGGAGAGCAGTGCTTTGCGAACCGAGCGCTGTGAGAACAGCACATCCGGCATGGAGCACTCACACCGCGGGATGGTCGGCGGTGTTTTCCCCCCGTCATCAAGAGTCGAGTTGGACGCAAAAAGGGAGCCTAAAAGGTCGGCTTTGTCTTTTGCGTCATGGGCCAGTGAGTCATCCTCCCTGTGCAGAGATGGTAGTGATGGCTTACAGAAATTCCCTTGGACAGCCTTGGCGAGAGACCAGAATGCACGGGTTCCCGAAGGAAGGCGAACTAGTTTCTCGCCAATTCTGCCTATGTGCTCTGACTTTGCCTTGGCAATAACTCTTTTGAAGGACCTGGAGGCGAAGTTATACTTCTTTTTAAGTGTGCTGGTGTTTACATCCCGAGTCACCGAAGCTGCAGCCCAGGCTTGATAACACTCCTGCTTACTGCGCAATGCAGTCTTACAGGAGCGACCAAACCAAGGCTGAGATCTGCCTCCGATGGGTACCACAGATGATGGAATAAATAGTTCCATTCCCTGTAGCACCACATCAGTGACAGAGTCAGCAACAGCACTGGGATCATCCGGCGAGAAGCAAACCCGCCCCCATGGGTAGGATGCAAAGAAAGAGCGCATTCCGTCCCAATCCGCCGACCTGTAATGCCAAACACGGCGGCAACCTGCAGAACGCAACCGCGAAGGGAGCGTGAGTGGCACCATACTCCGGATCAGACAATGGTCCGAAGAGCCGAGAGGGGCATCGACGGAAACCTGATATCCGTCCGGATGAGAGGTCAGCAGAAGGTCCAACAGGGAAGGTGTATGATCCTCCACATCTGGAATCCGCGTAGGCGAAGTAACCAGTTGTGTCAGACCATATGCCAAGGCAAAGTCATAAACAGATCTCCCCGCATGATCGGTTAAACGTGAACCGAGCCATTCGGCATGGTGGGTGTTAAAATCGCCAAGGATCACGATCTCTGCGGATGGGACCTGTTGTAGCAAGGAATCTGTAGCCATTTGGACGTGGTCGATGAGTCGGTCTGTTTCGGCATTACCGCTATGGGACCTATAGAGGCACCCGTAGACGCGCGGATGGTCGTCGCTGTCTACGCGTAGCCAAAGGATGGACAGGTCCGAACCTTCAAGACTGCCGAGGCGTCGAGAACAGATGTCCTCTCTAACATACACGCAAACTCCAGCCCGAGGCACAAAGGAGTGCTCCAATTTGTACCCCGGGTAGGAGAGATACGAAATATCAGTCGGAGAGGAAACCTGCGTCTCGGTCAAAAAGAGCAAGGCCGGCTTCGCCGTCTCGAGATGGTAGTGGACGGCGTTTAGGTTACAGTGAAGTCCCCTGATGTTGCAGAAATTCACGGATAGCGTGGCAGGGGTCGCCTTGGTATTGTTGCTCAGCTTGCCCCGAGCAGTTTTGTTTTTGAGCGGAATTTTGCCCCCCCCCCAGAATACGCGGGGCAGCCTGAGCACCCACGCTCAGGATTGGAATAACATGGTCGTGGATGCTCAATGGAAGCACGCTTCAAGATGTAGCCAATCTTGTCAGTGACACCTCTGACATATGGCAGTACAGCAGGCACTCAGTCCCCCCCCCCCCCCATATACCTCAGTCCCACCCGTGACCATGGGTGCTGAAAAGTGCCCGAAAAGTCGGGAATATAAAATAAGTTAATATACGCGATAAACTCCGTAAAATTAGTTTTATTTAAATGTAGTAAAATTGCTTTCATTTTTATCAAGAAAATAATGTTGCATGCATAGAGCTCTGTAAATATCGCCCCGTGAGATACATCTACACTGCACATAATCCTTATTCTATTCTGTGACATAATCTCTAACAATATTTGTAGAACTTTAGGTATATTAAAATGTTTCCTGTATTCTTAATGTTTCAGTATTTTTATGGTTATTCTGAGTCACCTTGCAAATATTGGATTTGTTTATTTTGCTTTCATTCGACGTAAACGCGATGTTTATAGTATCTATTACAAGATATTATAAAGCCGCGTATAGATTATGCACTCCAAGCGGTCAAACATTGGCGCGCGTTCAAGCCGCGTGAAATGGATACCGCATTGTAACGCGCGCCAAATTGTTCATTGGCACGCTCAAACATTGAGCGGCCCATTCCATCCGGTGCCGGCTTTTTACCGCATATCAAAGCAGTTCAGAATTGGCGCGCGCGCCAGTTGGGACGGTTGTTTTCATCATTCGTGTGTTCGTTGCGTTCCGAGCTATGCATAACCAAAGTTGCCGTAAATTCATAAAATTATATGGTTCAAAAGAACTGCTGTGGAATAGCAAAAGTCGTTTTTATCATAATATAGCGCTCAGAGAAGATGCATGCAACTTTGAAAGCGGCAGCTGCTCGTACACGACCGACATCCATGTTAAAGAAAGAAAGAAAGAAAGAAAGAAAGGTTTATTCTCCAAAATTACGCCATCACAGATAACATAAAAAAGAAACACATAATTTACAAATAATATTGGCTATACAATACAAATTACAATATACTACATATTACAAACTATACAATACCAATACTCATATGTGTCAAGGCGTCATCTGGGAACAGGAGCACACTCAGCATAATGCCATGAATTTTTTTTCTCTCCATGGCGCTGATTTTCAGTGTGTCCAACCAGTGACTTACCGAAATCAGTGCTATACGTATACTCATGACAGAATTATGCACAACAAGGGGGAAAGAAACAGTAACTATCTTAAGTGAGAGGGAGAGAGTAGAGTTCAAGGTCGAATGCCACTTCGACACAGCACGTCCCGTTTATGTTGCTTTCAGACGCTCTTAGAAGGGCTATACGAACACTACAAAAGGGGAGATTATTAAAATACTATAATGGGCTATATACTACAAAAGGGAAATTATTAAAATACTATAAAGTGCTAAAACTAAATGTTAAACGGTCAAACACTGGAACAGGGTGTCGCGCGCGCCAGGCGCGCTTTGTTGATATTATAATTCGAAAATTTGGAAGGCGTTCCACGGAACGCATTGGTCGGTACGGTAATTCATGGCGCTCGCGCCAGGAGCGCGTAATCTTTCACGTAAGCTTAAGATTTTATGGCTTTGCGCATAGTTGCCTCTTACGACACCCACGGAACGTAAGGGGCTAATCGAGTGTCTTACACCTCCACCTTAGTGGTGATTTGTGTATGATATTTAGATTTAAATAACTTTTTCGATCTTTATTTATGTCGCCCGCGTGTAATTTATTACGATTGGATTAATTTTTTTGCACGGAACCCTGATAATTTTTCAAAAATAAAAGTACCCTAAGTTACTTCTTATAACATCAGCTATTTACCAGTGAAAGTCCCGTCAAAATCGGTACAGCCACTTCGGAGATTAACCGGAACAAGCAGACAGACAGACAAAAATTTAAAAAATTGTGTTTTTGTTATAAGTACCGTATATACATTCATATGCATTTAGTAAAAAGCTGTTATTTTGACATTACAAACAGACACTTCAATTTTATTTATTTGTATAGATGAAAGTGAACTTTATTACTAAAATAGTAGCAAATTAAAAACAGACTACGTTTTTACTGTACGTAGGTACTAATATTTTCCGAATTTGAAGGCTAATATAACTATAGGAGTCCTCAGAAGTAATAACGCACTTCATAGAATAGAATAGAATAGAATATTTTTTATACAAAATTAATTATAAGTAATTCTTATTGAAAGTCATTTCTTACTTTACCACTGGTTCGAAAAAATCCTCTGTCCTGGGAAGAGCCAGCAAGAAACCCAGCGGGACTTTTTTTTTTAAATAAATTTTATTAATATATAATAGTTTTAGCACGCTATGACTCTCTTGCTTCTTTCAAATCCCTATATCTACATACATGCTCGTCGGTTAAGGACACTCCTTCAATATATCGCCAATTTGGTCGATAAGCTCCCGTCTATGGTGTCCCTTACCGACCCTTCTATTCAAACAGACAACGCACCTACAGCCATATTTTCTTGAAGTTCATTCCAAATGTCCATAGGTTGTAGCTGTCATCTTCAGAGGGACTTGGTATTTTATTAAAAGTAAAAAAACTTCTTTGTTATTCCAGGGTTTCTCACCCGACGTAATGAAGACCCTAGTGGAATCATCAAGTGGAGGCGCTAGAGACCAATTAAAAATGGCGTTATCAAAGATGGTGGAAAGACACGACTGCGCTCACGAATACGCCAACAACCGCGCAAAGGAGATGGTCACGGAGTTAGGAAAAGACGATTCCAAGCTCTCTTCTGAGATTAGATACCTTCAACCCCTAGTTTATAAGTACTAGAAATTAATGCATTTATTATCTGCCATTTAATACTAAGTCTACATATGTAAGTTACTAAATACAATATAAAAAAATATCATATTATTTTTATTTTCACAAATCATTTTCTACCGATTTCAAACAGGAGACGGTACTCAGTTCGACTGTATGTTTTTCCTTTTTTTTGTATTTTACCTCAAACATTTTTTCTAGGTGAACCGATTTCGATGTTTCTTTTTTTATTTGAGAGCTGGTACTTCTCACGTGGTCCCATATTTTGATCAAGGTCTGACCAATGTTAAGTTATTTTTAATAATTTATATTGAAGTGGGTTCTACATTTTTTTTAAATTATTAACACAACTTAAACGATACAAATAACTGATAGGTCTTGTTCATCATCATCATTATCATTACAGCCTAAAAAAAAGCCACTGCTGAACATAGGTATCTTCCATAGATTAAAAAATAATTAAATTTTCAGCCTAGCGTGTTGGCGCAGTTCACATGTCTTCGAAATATTTTTTTCTTATTTCTCAAATATGCAGGTTTCTTCACGATATTTTCCTTCACCACCGAGCACGTGGTAAATCAGCACTTAAAATTACAATTAATAAATTACTCGCATACAGAGAGCGCTTAGCCCCCTGAACTACCACGGCTATTTCCATAGATTGGCTTGACAAAAATTACGGAAGTTACTTCAACCCATTTTGTGCTACACTCGAAAATGGCGGTGAAGTAGTTTTTACTTCCTTAATATATCAACGTTAATGGTATTTATCTAAATTCAAAATCAGTCAAATTTTATATGCACAAAATAAAAAAGGCCAAAATTGTAATCAAGCGCTGGCTTATATTACATTTAAAAAAAAACTAGTACATTGGGACTCATCATCATCATCATCATTACAGTCCTTCAAAAGTCCACTGCTGAACATATGCCTCCCCCAAAGAATGCCACAAAGGACGGTCCTGAGCCACCTGCATCTACCAACTTCCTACATGTCTTAAAAGGTCGTCACTCCATCTAGTGGGAAGTTGCCCTACACTTCGGCTACCGGTACGAGGCTGCCACTCAAGAACCTTTTTCCCCATCTGTTGTCGTTTTTTCGAGCTGTATGGCCGGCCCATTGTCACTTCAGCTTACTCCGTTGGGATATGTCGGTTACTCTGGTTCCACTGCGGATATCCTAATTTCTAAGTTTGTTACGCAGAAAATCCCTGAGCATAGCCCTCTCCATATCTCCACCTTGAGCGCCCTTATACGGCCAGCAGTGAAGGACCACGTCTCAGATCCATAAGTCATCACCGGCAACACGCACTGGTTGTACAATTTCGTTTTCAAGTTTTAGGTATAGCTGACGAGAAGATGTGTCGTAATTTCCCGAACGCTGCCAAGCCGAGTTAAATCTGTCGATTGAACTCTCGGGCGAAGTTCGACTTACCTAGTAGGACTATTTGTCCCAGGTAAACATACATAGTGCTCCCAACCGGCATAGGTGTGACATGGACATTAAACATGATCTTTGTTTTGTCAAAACCTATCCGCTGGGAGACATCATTGAGGTAGCATAGTGCTTAGGTCCTCCAATGATTCTGCCATAAGGACTATATCGTCAGCAAATTGAAGGTGAGTGATGTACTCGCCATTGATGTCAATACCGTATATTTTTCAGTCCAATAGCTTGAAAACGTCTTCCAATGCAGCGGTGAAGAGTTTCGGGTATATAACGTCACCCTGTCTGATACCTCTCTGCAGTTGGATAGGTTTCGTACTCTGATTCTGTACTCGGATAGCCATCTTAGCCCTACTATACAAACACTTCAGCACTCCGATATACCGACAGTCAACTTGACACCGATGAAGGGACTGTAGCACCTCCCGATTTTGACGGAATCAAAGGTTTTCTCACATACGCAAGGCAAAGTGGCAGATTGTACTCCTCAGTCTTCTGTACAATTTGCCGAAGGATGTATATGTGGTCTATGGTACTAAAACCTCTTCGGAAACTGGCTTGTTCGGGAGGCTGAAAGTCGTTGAGACTGCGTGCAAGACAATTCGTAATGACTCTCGAAAACAGCACGTAGACGCTTAGAAGGGAAATCGGTCTGTAGTTCGTCAAGAGAGCGTTGTCGATTTTCTTGAAGAACAAGACCACCGCACTTCTGCTCCACGCCTCCGGAGTAGTCCCACCATTGAGGACGGAATTAAAGAGCTTCTGAAGGACTTCAAGTACCTGTTTGCCACCCGTTTTCAGAAGCTCAACTGTAATTCCATCCTCACCTGGGGCCTTGCCGTTTTTAAGGCGCTAGGTAGCCATTCTAATCTCGCTCAGACTGACGTCTGGGATATCATCAGAATAGTGTCGGATAAGACCCGCCAACCAACTTAATGTTTAGGTTCAGTGTGCCTCTAACCATTCGGTGATCGCTACCAGTTTTTTTTTTTATATAATAAGCTTGACAAACGAGCACACACTTCACCCTCGCAATCACTGAGACATCACTGAACAGTTGTCATAACGAAGTCAATCTCATTTTAGTCGAAGCGTCGGGGCTCGACCAGGTCCACTTCCTGTAGGGCGCCTTCTGAAAGAAAGAGTTCATCATAAAAAGTCTCACTTTCTCCATCAAGTGGGCTAGCTGCTGGCCCCTAGGGTTCTGTTGCCCTATTTCAAATTTCCCTATCCTCAGCTCACCATTCTCTCTTGTCCCTAGTTTAGCATTGAAGTCTTTTATTATCACCGTATAGTGGGTTTTGGAGGAATGCATGGCTTTAGACATATCCTCGTACATTTCCACAACCTCCTCATCGGGATGTGCCTAGGTTGGTACGTAAACCTGTATGACTTTCAGCGAATGTCGTTTGATTATTCTGATAATGTACGCAACCCTTGTCAACACACTCTCAATCTTTACAACGTTGCTAACGAGAGACTTGTGGACGATAAATCCGACACCTCCTTGGGACAGATAGTCGCCCTCTCAGTGATAGAACAAGTTGCCGGATTCGAGGATCATTGTGTCCTCCCCCTCTCTTCGGACCTCGGATGATTCTATAATATTCCAGCGCAACTTGACTATCTCTTCTTCCAGCTCCAGGATCATCTGATCAGTCCTCAGGGTGCGTGCGTTGAATGTTGCCTGGTCAAGTCGTCTTAGGTGGCAACGGAACCTCCACCGGAGATTCTTAGCAACCCCTGCCCCGTCGTTATCCGCCAACCGTAGCCAGAAATAGCGGGGCAGCCGGGGACTGGGGGCCGTTTCTCCGTAACTTTCATCATGGAGGATATTCGCCATAGTTGTCATGCTTGAGCGGATTGACAACCGCAGTTTTTTTATTGTAATATTGCTGTTATCAGGAAGATGCTGCTGCCCATCTCCTGCCTGTTTCCCACTGTCGCCCCCTACGACACCTACGGGAAAATATAGGGTATCGGATATTCTTAACCGCCACTACACGGCTAATTATTACCGAATTAGGACTCAGAACTAATAAATTAGCATTAGTTCCATAAACGGCATAATTGATTTAATTTGCACTTTGTGTTATATATTTTTTTGTTAATCACTTCAAAACATATAAAATTGTTGATCATAAATTAAAATACGAAGGAAAAATAGCGGGAAATACTTTTTTATTATAATAACAACTTTAATGGTACTAATGTACAAAATACTAATATTATAACGGCCACTGTATCATTATATGTTATTAAGACATGTATTACCGAAAGCACAGTATGTCATTACGAGGTAACAAATGAGACGTCGGTATTCAACGTCGTAATGTGTTCGTGAGCCGGGTTATTCATCAACCGTAGTAAAAGTTGGATCCGCCTCTAGCGACTGTGACTTACACCGTTACGTAACATATATTTAACTTATTTATAAATATATAATATTGCATATCTTTAAAAGGATATCTGGCAACCAATTATACCATACTATCGTTTCCTCTGTTTTTTCCTAGATAATGATTAATGACACAAGACCAAATATTTTACGATATAATCTATATCTATCACTACCGTTTGTCCTACCTATGTCTTGTTCTCTCAAGTAAATTTTCCCGTAAAAAAAACTGTCTAATTATGCTGCCGCTGTTAGACATCCAACAAACTTTAAAGAATGTAAAAAAATATATAGAAAAATATTTTACAGACGTGAGAGACAATCATTCTTTTTTTATACAATAAAGTTACAAACGAGCACATAGTCCACCTGATGATAAGTGGATGGTACATAAACATCTTCATCTGTCCGCGATTAAGAATCCAACTGTAGATGCATTATCAGACATGAAGTCCAGTAAAAAGTTTCTTCGGTACTGTAGAGAACTCACAGTAGTTCTTTTCTTTTTCTTTTATATTTTAAAAAAGTTACCCCCACACTAAGATTTTCTCCTATATCGTTGAGGCAGTTTACAAACACAAATTGCACAAGGACATACATCCAGACTCGGAACAATTATTTGTAGACCATACAAACACTTGTTCCGTGTGGGATTTGAACCCGCGGAATCTCAGCGCAGCAACTCATTGCTAAGCCACAACGCCACGGAGCCGTCAATTCTGTGAGAGCTTAGTCCCTCCCAGGCTGAGCCAACCAACTCCTGCTACACCTGATATACCTGTAACTTGGCTCTACCTAAGTATATGTAATTTAGTGTTAAAGTAGGAAAAACCTTAAAAATGTGCACTTGATACTCGTATATTATTAAGAAGCCTACATGCAGGCTTTAAACTTTAGATCCTTTTGTAAAACTATTTATTCTACTGTATCTACATTCTACCATGTGGTGCCGACGTAAAAAAAAATGGAACACCCCATTGTGTCCCGTAGGTGTCATAAGAACTATGAGAAATATCAGAAAAATCTTACGGCTTCCGGTAGATGGCGGTGGTGTACGCCAGACGTAATTACCCAGAGCGGTTATAGGCAGCAACTTCAAAGTTACGAGACCTCTAGTACTGCCAAGTCAAGCGTGACGATCAAGGCACAACTCTAGTTTGAATA